TTTAATTGATTTGAATAATAGTACTAGATAGAAATTTCGGGTTGTCACATCTTGAACCTCTTTGTGTTAGATTGAGATCAAGGCTTGTTTTGAGCTTATTATGGTCTTATGAGTTCTCCTTGTGAGTTTGAGCCACTCCAGGAGCTAGGAATGCTAGATCTTAACCTTTTTGATGTCCCTTGAGTAAAAAAAATGATATCTTGATAAATCATATTGGACCATGCATGAGTTAGAGTCCTTATTATGGGTCTTAATGGACAAATTTGCATTAAGACATGCAAAGTGGTAACGTTGCCAACTTTATGCATTAATACCTTGAAATGAAGTACATCTGAGGTTTGGACGTTAAGAGCTTAAGTGGTTAAGACAAAAATTGGACAAACAGGACTCTAGCCGGTATGCAGGGCGTAATTCCTGGTATGCTTCGCGTATTGGGTCAACTGCCCGTTTTCGAGTCAACATTCGTACGTCGCGCGTACGAGGAGTACGTCGAGCGTACTCGGTGAAGTGGGCTTTCGACATTTTGGGCCCTTTTGGACTGGGATTCTTTTGGGCTTGTGACCTTAACTGGATTTTTGGGCCTTATGTCTATTGGACCATGGTTGGGCCTTAGGTTTTGGACCAAGTTAGTTGAGCCCATTAAGGGAAGGGTAAAACAGTCTTTTACCCTAGGAATGAAGTTGAGGAGTCGGGACCCCGGTTATGGTTATTGACCTAATTATTGATTAGGGTTTTGTTTGTTTGGTTAGTGAGGTGATTACCAGTTGCAACAGCCTGCGTATTTCATTATCAGAGGATCGAGGTGAGTTTGCGCACTATATTGTAGGACACTAAGATATGTTATGTGCTTGTAGTCTTTGTGACTCCTGTTGTATGTGTTATATGCATATGTGCCTGTTTGCTATATGTATATGGGGTGAAATAGACCCGGGGGCGAAATAGACCCGGTACAACCTTGTGCTGACATATGAGTTGAAATAGACTCGGGGGTGAAATAGACTCGGTACGGCTTGGGCCGACACATAAGTTAAAATAGACTCGGGGGTGAAATAGACCCAGGGGTGAAATATAGACCCGTCACAGCCTTGAGCTGGCAGATATGTATGGTATGCGACATTTTGGGGAACTCACCAAACTTTGTGCTTACGGTTTTCAGTTTTGTTTCAGGTACTTCCGGATCGAAGGGGAAGAGTTCGAGATGATCGCATCGCACACACCATATACATAAAAATATGCACTACAACATGCCACATGCTAAACGGATATCTGATCAACATTCTAATGATCCCGCTCACCTAAGAACAAAGCATCATCAACATAAAAAAGATGAGACATAATCCTTTCCCCGTACCCAATCACAACACCACTAAAGATGCCCATGAGCTACCACATCCTCTATAGTCTATAGCAACGTGCCTCCTCCATAGCAATAATGAAAAGGGAAGGAGATAAAGGATCCCCTATCGTAATCTTCTATGCTAGGGATGAGCATTTGGACCGGGGAACCGGCCGGAACCGGTACCGGAACCGGAACCCGATGGAATCGCTCGGGCCGGGACCGAGACGATATTCTTGTGGATTTTTGGAACCGGAAACCGGAACCGGTAGAACCGGCAAAAACCGGAACCGTATGTTGCTATTTCTGGGCCGGTTCCAACATTGAAGACACGGCAAGAATCGGCGGTCCGGTTCGGTTCTTAGTTTCGGCCGACTTCGGTTCCCGCGCCGGGTCCGGTTCGGACCGGTTCCAGCCGGGTCGGTTCTTTTGCTCATCCCTATTCTATGCCGTTGGAACTCCTCCGTAAGCATCCATTCAGAACAACTGATGACCTGGCGTTCCTAAAGATAACACGAATCCAAAGACCGCGAAATATCACCAAATCCCATGAATTCTAAAACCTGATTAGTACACTCCCAGATGACCGATCCATACACCTTCTCAAAGTCCATTTTGAAGGGCAAATTTAATTAGTCGTTTATAATTGGTTCATTCCTTTTCTGACTCCTTTGATTGATTATAAAATTGAGTTGTTAAAGTAAACATCTACAATTCGTTTAAAAGGTCATCAACCATTTCCAACAGAGAAAATGTTAAAAAAAAAATCACATAGCATTATTGCATTTGGCCATATTCCCAATGAATTAAACTGTTCAACCGACACATCACAGATCTTTTTGAAATTAGGTTTAATTTCCCTGGAAACATAATTAAATATCTAACTTGTATAGATATAAAAACAAATAATTTAAAGTATAGAAAGATGCTGGTGGTCAAACTGAGAGTCTCATTGAGATTTGAACATAACATGTTATAGAGCATTTGTGATTTGAATTTTTTGGGGTTTTTTCTAGAAGTTTTTTTCTATCATAAAATGTTTTTGAAAATTTAAAAAAAAAGGTTAACTGGATGATTTTTTTTTCAAACTTAATAAGTTTCTTGGTAATTAACAAATTATTATCATGAAATTTTTTAACGATTTGATGTGTCTTATAAGTTTTCAATCAATTAAATAAAAATTAATACAAAGGTTTTAAAATAACAAATTGAAAAATACCCTTTTATAAAGATAAAGTAAGATTTTACATTAAAAAAAAAAAAAAAAAAAAAAAAAAAAAAAAAAAAAAAAACTCTTCAAAAAAAGCTATCATATATTCCCATTACTTGTTAGGTTCAACCAATATAAATCAATACATGACACATGACACATTAGATATTTATATTTGTATTGTCATAATGTGTGCACGAATATGCATGTACGCATGTGCCACAAGACCCACAAACCTTAAGTCATACGGACTAAAGATGCGTTAAATTTAATGCATGTTCAAGTTAATTATCTTCAATTAAATATTCTTAATGTTATTATCTTATTTTATAAATTCAATAAAAATATGCACGATTTAGAACATTTAAACATGTAAATACTTTGAACCAGATCTCATTTTGTCATCAAATATATACAGTGTATCCAATATTTTAAACTTAAAAAGGTTGTTTGTTTTTATTTTTCCATAAACTCATGACTCATGTATAAGAAAAATAGATGTATTAGTAATAATGTCGGTATAAATAATGATTTTATTCATAAGTTATAAAATCTTATAAATATTACTTGATATGGAACCTACCAGATTATAAACCTAAAGAATTTTAATTGTATACAATACTTTTTATTATAGACAACAATGGATAAAAGATGATGTATTATCCATCCACCCTCCCCCCCCCCCCCAACCCACCCACACAAAAAAAGAAAAAGAAAACCTACAAGTCTTATTAGCAATTTATTCATAACAATGGATAAAAGATGTTGTGTTACACACCCCCCCCCCCCCCCACAAAAAAAAATAATAAAATAAAATAAAAATAAATAAATTAGCTTTATGTAAAAGTTGGAAATTTCTAACATTTTTAAAAAAATCATTTTTTTCTAAACAAGTTAGTCTTTACCAAATATTTAGTTTATTAACTTTTAAAAAAATCAATAAGTTAATAAGTTATTTTAAAACACCCCTAAACATCCGATGTTCATTTGGATTGATCGATTTAATCCGATCCAATCAAGTGAATCTAAATTGATTTCAGTTTTCAAAACGTGAATCCGAATAGTCTAAACTAAATTTAAATCCGATCTGAACCAATCAAATTATAACTCGGTTGGATTGGTTTTTACAATTCGGATTTCAAAAGGAATGACATTTAAGAAAATATATAACATGAATATTTGTCAACTCTAAATAAAAATAAATTGTTTAGTTGAGAATTAAAATTTATGAACAACTATTCAAAATATATATATATATATATAATATATATATATATATAATATTTTATAAATAAAAACTTTTGAGAAGTACATATTAAAGTATTTTATTGGATAATATATTCTAATCTCTTTAAAAATACAATTTAGTAAACTAATAAATAATTAAAAGATTTATATTGAAATATATATATATATATATATATATATATATATAGATATATATATATATATATATATATATATATATAATAAATTTTTATTTGGTATTTTTTGGACTATTCGTTTTTAATTTTATAAAGCGTAAGTCCGTAACCAATTTAAAATCCAAAATAATAATTTGGTTTTACTGAAAACTCATCAAGAAGTCCAAAAATTCGAACCAAATAGTTAAATCCAAATTGTCCAATTAAATATTTAGTTTTATCCGGATAATGAACAACCCTACCCCTAAACGTTTAAGCTGGTCTTTTTTCGATTTTGTCCTGATTTGTTTCAACCAAAAGAACAATCCTAGTGATATAGTTGTAAAGATAGAGTTGGTTTGGAGTTGTAGATAAAAAGAAAAGATGTTGAGATTGGTTGAAGGTGGGGTCACCCCATTAATACATAGGAGGTGTAGTTTCCAATTCAATTCCACTTTGGTTCTACCATATCTAACACAATCTTAAATGGTGCATTATTTGTCTCCTTTTTGTGGGCCTTTTCTCCACTTACATCATTGATGTTGGGGTTTCATCTCATACCTAATGTCTCTTACACAAAACATTGCATATACACCAAACATTTCCTAACATACGACTATTACGTACTATTACGTGTCATCATTTATATAAGTTATTAGTCTTTTACATATAGTACTTTTCAATTTGTTAAGAATTTTGAATCAATATCTTGTGTATTTCATAAATATCTAAAGAAAACTTTATGTATTATTCGTTTTTATTTATGGATTACCCGATTCTTATAAGTTATTTACTTTGTCATCTATAATATTCTAAAGTGGAAATGAACTGACGATTGAGATTTTGGGGATATGGTCCATCCTACTCAGCAACCTCTATGTAGTAGATCTAAAGATAATTGTACCATCATTTCTTTAGGGCCCACCAATTGAATAATTTACTTGTGGGAATTTTGCCTATATAAACCAACTCTCTTTCTTCATTTCATCATTGTGTACTCAAATTCTCATCTCAATTCCCCCTCTATTTTCACATCCATTTCATTTGCTAGATGGCTTCTATGATCCAAGAAAATTGGGCAACCATCAATGGCCAAGATGGTTTTGATGAGTTCGAGCCATTGGAAATCGATGACACCCTTTGGATGTCAATTCTTGATGAACCACATGTAGATGATGAGTGTGATGATGAGAGGTTATCGAATGTGATTCGGTCTTTAGAAGCTGAGATTAATCCAATTGTGATTGATGAAAGTGATATGAGTTTAGAGCTAGAATGGAATGCTGATTGGGAGGGTAGTCATCAGTTTTCGACCAATCAGAATATTTCTAAATCGCATGATCTTGATTATAACTGGATGGAAATTGATGATATGTACATCCAAGGGTATGAAGATGGAATTGGTGGTATAATAGAGTTTGGTGGCGTTAAAGATTTTTCCCAAATCTCTTATGGAGTGGATGAGCATGTTTATGGTGCTTTGTGGCAAGAAACTAATTGATTGATGCTCCTAAGGGGTGTTAATAGTCCAATATTTAAGTTAATGGACCTTTTTTGTAAATGAACTTGTAATGTTTGAGGGTTGCAATTGCCCTTTACTACATCAATTAATTGAATATCAAAAAAAATAGTTACTTAGCTTCATTCATTGTTATCCTAACTTTTATTTCTAATTACAAGAAACAAGTTGAATAATTTCATTATTTTTATATTACTTCAAAATTGATCAAGGTTAAGGTTTATAGGATGACGTAATTTCATCCCCTTTGTTCACCTTCCTTTAAGTCAATTTTTGCTAAAGTTTGCAAAGCATATATTCCATAACTTTTTCGATTATTGTCCTATATATGCAGTCTAGAAAAGATTCACCTATTGTTCCTACTTTGTTGTAACACGTTATTTACAATAAATCATAAGATTCTTCAATAATACAATATCGTTGATTGTTGTCCAACGATGTATATATATTTATAGGTATATTGCTTTATTATTTATGGAAATTGTGTGCCATTCCAAAAAAAACAATTATGGAAATCGTGATATATCGAACGAAATACGGGATGGAGGTTAGAAACTATTAAGACTTTATAGAATATTGTTGTAGGTTCGAAAAAAAAAGTATCATTTATTGACAAATATGGATGAAAGATGGTGATAAGAGATTCTTATTTTGTATGATAACACATGGCAACGAAAAAAAAAGTTTCTGCTATGGTGGATTATACATATGCATATGACATATTGGAAACCAAGTAAATATGGTGACCAAGTTTATTACTTGGGGACCAAATGAATAAACTTGGGGACCAGATAAGAAGTTAGGTTGAAGCACAATTTGTAGATTCTAGTGCAACTTGTGAAGCATGAAGCTCAAACTTTAAAGTACGAAAAATAAGTCATTACCTTTGTATAAGACAGTAGGGCTGGTTTTTTTTTTTTTTTTTGAACGGCAGAAAAATATATTATAAAAATACTAACAAGAAGCTAGATAAAAACACCCAATCAACATACACAAAGGCAAAAAGAGAAAATGTTACATAATGGCTAAAATTGGATTTTGGAGCCACAAAATCCACCTAAAACTCTTCTTAATCCTATTAGAACAACAGAGAAACTATATCATAAAAAATATGACTCTTATTCGGTTGATCTTTATCAAACATAGATTTATTCCAGAAAAGCCAAATATACCACCACATCACAAAAAAAAAAAAAAAAAAACACCTTCCAGAATATATTTTACCCCCTTCCGTAAACGAAGATCAACCAACCAAGAACTCCAATCATCAGGGCTAGTTCATTGATTTTGCATACTTAGGACGAGATATAAAATTAACGACCCAATGTTCATACCATTTTTATATAGCTTGATTATTAAACTTCTAAACATGAACAAAATTCGAATCAACCCTTCTATATGTAAATGTGTTTATATTTCCATGCATAGATACAATGACAAAGTAAAATTTAAAATGTAACACTCAACGAAAACCAATGTGCTAATACAATCACTGTTGGTGCAAAAGACATATAGGCCCTTTTTAATATCATCATCAAAAAATAGTCTAAAAACTTGGTTAATCTCGTCAAACATGTCCAATTTTGGGAGACATGGTCAGATTAACAAAGTTCAGTGACCACGAATAGCTTCGGTCTTCACAATCCACATATTGGACAAACCATATCATCAAAGATCATAATTTCTAGCATAACAGTTATTAGAATTAATTATAAATCTCAACGTCTATATAAACATCTTCCTCAAAAGGGCATCATGGGAATACTACAAATACTTACAATTATAAATCTTAGCATCTGTTAACTACTACTTTTAATATATCAACCATGCCAAAATGAAGCAAATCCAAATCATGATTCAGACATTTAGCAATCAAAAGCCGTGAAGCATACCACAAACACAAAGATAATATAATATAATACTCGACGGCAAATGTGCCCATTAATTGCTTCAAGTTTATTTATTTATTTTTTATTTATTATTTAATTATCGGTTACAACTTGAACTTTCAAAGATAAATTTTCATTATCACCGTCAACATCTTTCATCAAAGAAATTAGATATTTATGGGAGCAAAGTGGACAGCTGCATAAAACCCAATTTTTTTTATTATATATATTTATTTAAAAATAAAAATTTATAATAACAATAAGGGTCCTTTTTTTGACTCGTCGTGGGCCTTTGAAGATATTTAATTTCTCAGTACCGACCTTGTAGATATTCTTAAAATTCTGCACTTAACCGCGTCTTTCCATGTAAATGCCCATTTCTTGTCTTTCCCATCATATAAAAAAAACATTAATATAAATAACTTTATTTTTAACAAGAATATATAAAAAAAACATTAATATAAATAACTTTATTTTTAACAAGAATATATAGATACATAAATCTAAGATTTCTTATGAAAAAATTCAATAAAGACTTACACATGTTGGCGTCTTTTAAAAACAGAGAACTGAAATATTAAAATACGAAATCAGAAATACTTTCGTCTCTTATTGTGAATCGTTATAATACTATTTCACTGCTTCTTTAAGACCTCGCCGCCGGTCCCAACGATAAAGAACTGAACTTAAAAACTTTAACCGCTTATATTGCTCCGAGAACTGAACTTAATAAGCTTCACTCAATGTTTGAATTGGAAGTTTGTTTTGGAAATCAGAAGTCGAAGAGAAGTGAAAATATGAAATACTATAATGGTAACCAATTAGGCTGGGGGGAGTGGTGTCGAGTGCACCGAGCTCCACCTCAGCCAAACACCATTTTCTTCATTGTGATGCTAAATAGAAGGAATGGAAGAAATAGAGAAGAAGAAGGTCGTCGAGGTAGGGAGAAGAAAGGGGGAAGAAGAAGGCAAAGAAGAGAGAGCTCGACAAAACTTCACCGAGTTTGGCCACCGAACTCGGCATGCCGAGTTGGTGGCCCGATGTTCCATAAGTCCAAATCAGCTTTTGTCGAGGAGTGCCGAGACCACTCCGTCAAACCTTATATTGTTCTTGGCCTCTAGACACGACAACTCCTCGATTTCAATTTAGGCGTGTGACACCTCGATTTCAACAATTGTCTTCCTTCAATTTTGGCCTAAATATTGTATGCATACCCATAAGAGCTGATGAAAAGTTGATGCCCCTGGTCCACTGCTGCCCTGGACAACAGTGGACCAGCTCCCCTCCCCCCTCCCTTGGGTCGGTCCTGTAAGTAAGTTCAGACAAGTCCTCGAAAAAGTTGCAGCATGAATTTGTCTAAGACCAGTGAGTCCTTAGGTGGTCTAGACCGATAGTTTAGAACCGGTCCCTAAATTAAGAAATTTAGTAGTTCTAAGTTTGAAGTAGGTCTCCAATGATTATATCTCAGCTCGGTTTGGTATTAACCGGTTCGAGTCGTTCCCCGATGACTATAAACAACTAGCCCACCCCCCCACCAAAAAAACCCTACCCTATAAATACTTCATACTCCCCACCAATGTTCCAGCTTAATTTTTATCTCTTTAGAAATACAACAATCTTACAAATCTTTAATTTTCTAATCTATCTATCTCTTATAAAGGAGGTCATTCAAAAGAATATAGTTCAAGATAAGCCATATATCTTGAACCATATGCATTTGAAACCGTAACATCCTAAAAATCAGAGTGAAAATTTCAATTTTTCAAAAACAACCCAACGACCATAATTGTTACAAAACATTGTTTCCAAGAATAACAATCACAATCAGAGTATCTCAAAATCCAAAATCATAAACCAAGAGGATGTGTAAGATCACACATTTGCTTTCCCACGATCGTCTGAAGTACCCTAAACAATAAACTGAAACTGTAAGCCAACACTTAGTGAGTTTCCCCCAAAGTACCACACACAACATATATAACATATACAATCATGCATGCTAGGTCCAATCAGTCATCAGACTGGAATACCATCGGGCCCATAGCCATCGGGCTGGATTACCCCCGACCTAATCAGTCATCAGACTGGAATGCCACTATACAACAAGTCCAATTAGTCATCGGCCTGGTATACCCTCGGGTCCACAGCCATCAGGCTGGATTACCCCCGGTCTTTTGACTCATACACATAACAGTAAAGCCTCAACCCCAAACTATACTATGTCGACATATGCAACAGATAAATATATAAAAAAATTAACAGGCAATAGGAAGCTCTACAGATCACTACCGCATAGCACATCCTATATATTAGGATACATATCTAACAAATCACTACATCATAACGACATCATATATACCAAGATACAGATCTAACAAATCACTACATCATAACAACATCATATATGCGAGGATACAAATCTAACAGATCACTACAACATAACAACGTCCAAAAGGAGAACCCATTTGGTCTAAAGCATGTCATACTCAAGAACACCATAGCTTGGGGACAAAAAAGTACATAATAACATCATACAAGCTAGATCTAACAAAATAAGCATCAAGGAATAAACTTTATATCTTCTGGAGATGAAGAAGGGTGCAAAACTTCCAGATCCATGGTTGATTCAAGCTTCCAAGATGTTCTCCTTTCCTTCTCCTTCCTCTAAGAATACTGAAACACACAGTAATGGCTCAAGGATACTCACAAAATGGATTAGGGTTTTCTAGGTACGAAAACGAGGATGGAGGTTGGTGAATGAAGAAGGTCTTAAGAGTTAAGGATGTTTAAATAGGGTCGAAACCCTAAAAATTAGGGTTTGGCCTCCACCCACATATGCCCATCATACGACATCAGCCCACACGTTTTATGATAATGCCACATGGGACCATTTTTGCAAATAAATCTCATAATAAGGGTCAAAAGTGTAATTACCTGGAAACCAATATGTTACAGTTCTCCCCCATTTGAATCAGACTCCGTGCTCGAAGTCCGTTGCCGAGAATAACTCAGGGTAGTGCTCTCGCATCTCTGCCTCGGGTTCCCAAGTCCATTCGGAACCCTTCCAATGTTGCCACTGGACCTTGACCAAAG